GAGGCAGGCAAAAAAAAAAAAAAGCTGTAGATGGAGGTGTTTTGAAGTAGAGGGCATAGTGGTTCCGAGTTCAGCGTAATTCTGCTGGGAGAGGAAAGAAAGGTTTATTGGGGGCCATTGGACTAAGATCTTTGAAAAATAAGCTAAGGAAGTTTAACTTACACACTTGGGCATTTAATAATTTCCCTTTTTGTTTGTTGTAAATAAACCTTTTTTTTCTCACTACTTCAGAAAGTGGTTATTAGAAAACGTTTGGGAAATGCAGAAGTAGAGATTAACATAGTTGCCTCAATTAAGGCTCTATAATTTCTTAGGTGTTTAAGCTATCACCTGCAAATGTGTGTGTACAGTACGGTTCAAAGTAAAAATTGCAGTTTGTGTATGTTGCATTCATTGCATGGATAGATTGATTATGCTTTGTCTTTATTTACTTATTTATTTTTTTGAGTATTTTATTTTATGTGTATGAGTGCTTGCATCATAATGGTCTGTCTGCACCACGTGCATGTCCATGGAGGCCAGAAGAGGGCATCCTATTTCCTGGAACTGGAATCATGGATAGTTATAAGCCAGCGTGTGGTGCTAGGAGCAACTCAAGTCTACTGCAAGAGAAGCAAGTGCTTGTTACTGCTAAGCCATCTCTCCAGCCCTGGTTATGTTTTTTTCTTTTTGAGGTGTAATCAACTCAGTACAAAATCCATTCTTTTACATTGTAACTATGTGTGTGTGTGTGTTTTAAGTGTTCAAAAGTTTTATAGTATTGCTGTCTAGTCCCAGAACATGTTTATCACCTTCATCAAAAATCGCATGCCCATTGGAGTTAACCCTCTCACTCCCAACTTCTGATCCATGGTTCTATATGCATCTTCCTGTTTTGTACATTTCAAGTAAATGGAAGCATATAACAGGTGTCCTTTTGTGTCTAGCCTCTTTCAGTTAGCGTGCGTAATGTTTTCAGGGTTTATCCATGACTATGTAAAAATACGTTATTCATTTTTATTTATTTTCCCCTGTTATTCTGGGGACGGACCTCACATGGTAGGTAAGAATTCTACCACTGACCTACATAACTCACCCATTCCTTTTTATGGATATGCGGTTGTATTGTTTTGTATTTGGGCTATTTGGAATAATTCTACACATCCTCTATGCCTTTTTGTGTGGATATTTGCTTTTAGTTTTTCTTTCTTTCTTTCTTTTTCTTTTTTTGTATGTACCTAGAAGTGGAACTTCTGGGTCATGTGTTTTGAGAACTAAGCATACCTTCTAAAGTGGCTACAGCATATTGAATCGTATAGATTATGAAGGCCTGCTTCTCTAAATCCTGGCAAACTCCTGTTGTTTTGATTGTATGCATCTTAGTGGTACTAGTGAAATAGTATCTCCTTATTGTTTTGCTTTTTATCCTTAATAATCTTAAGGATCTTTCCATGTACTAATTGATCCTTATATAATTTTGGAGAAATGTCTAATGTTTGACCAGGGCTTTTTTTTTTTTTTTTTTATGTCCATGTACCACATGTGTGCCTGTTATTAACAGAGGCCAGAACTACATAATAGAATGACTCTGTCTCAGATAGAGAGGCCCTGTCACTAAAAACTAAATAAACAAAAACCACCACCACAACAAAAAATATTGCTGAATCCAGAGTCAGAAATATTTACCCCTGTATAACTTCTGGTAACTCTAAAAGTTTTTATAGTTTTGATGCACTTAATTTGGGTGTGTAGTAGCAGAGAGGAGCACAGCTTTCCTTTTTGCCTTCTGGCTATCTAATTTTCATCACCTTTGGTGACTTTCCTTTCCCCATTAACTGACTTAGGCATCCATCTTGAAAATCAGTTGGCCACAAATAATGTTAGCTATAACTATTCCTCTCTGTTGAACTCTTAGGTCGCACATGTTTTTAAAATTCTATATTACCCTATATTAAGCATAGCATAAACTATGTAAGGCTAACCAGAAGTGGTGGCACATGCTAGAAATCCTAGAACTTGGGAAGTGGAGCGGGGAGGATCAGGAGTTTGAGGTCAGTCTGGGCCACATGAGACCCTGTCTCACAAAACAAAACAAATGATCATTAACAACACAAACTAACCTAAGAAAGACGGTTTAAAATTTAGGTAGAAGGTGTGCTCAGAAGTAGAATTACTGGCTCAAAGATGAATTTAAGTTTGTTCTGGGACTCATTTAATGAAGCATTGCAATCTCAATATGATACCAAAAGCACAAAATACCTTGTTTGTTTTTTAAAATGAGAGCTTCTCACTTCATATCCCTGGTTGGCCTGCTACCCGTTTTGTAGACCAGGCTGGCCTTAAGCTTGCAGTGAGCCTCCTATCAATGACTCTCTTAAGAGCTAGGATTATCGTCATGTGCCATGATGGCCAACTAACAACATGGTTCTTTATTATCAGTTGCAGTAGCTTAAGGGCTAGATTTCTTCTGTAAAGAAATATTTTATTATCAGATAAATGATTTCTTGATTGTCTTCCTCCTATACTACTTTGAAAAGATTATACAGGACACATGATACTTCTAAATTGTTTAATTAAAAAAAGTCATTATGTGATAGGAAAATTAAAAAATGTGATTTTATATATGTATGTGATATGTATTATATATATGTATGTATTTTTTTTTTTTTGAGAGATCCAAGGTCAAGATTTAGACCTTAAATTAGTGCCTAGAAAGTCCCTGAAGTAAAAAAAAGAATGTTTTATTTTGAGAATCCCTTCTGGTCTTGATGATTAGTGAATTAGCATTCATTCATCTTGATCTCAGAAAGGTCAAATAAAGTCTCTTTTCAGTGACTAGTACTGAATAAAACAAGTTCAAATATGAAGGGTATTAGAGAAAACAGAATTTCTCAGTTCTCTTTCAAGGTGTATTTATGATACTGTTATCTTGCGTCTTTATATATTAGTTCATATGTGCAGTTTCTGGAGAAATGGTATCTACAGTAGTGCATATTTTCAGGCTTTTCATACTTTTCAGACTCTTTTTCAGAACAGTTACATTCAGCTTAAGGTACCAGTACAGTTTTGTTAGAAACATTTTTTTACATATACCTCAATCATTTATTTATACCTGTATAACTTACATTTACATCTTAAATCATTTTCTGATACCCTCAAAACTTACTTAAGCTTTTTTTTTTTAAATGCTGAATGCTGTTTATTGAAGGAGGGAGGAGGTCTTAAATACAGGCTTATAGCAGAATGGGAGAACCCCGGAGGGCAGAAGTTTGCTACAGATGTTTTACAATCTTGCATCTAAGCTGTTAACACCCATTATTCAGGATATACAGACAGTTTTTTGTTCTTTTATGAATATTCCTTAATATTGGATATTCAGCTTGTATTTCCTCTTACATATTATCTGTTCATGATTTTTGGCATGGCATTTGTGTTGTTCAGTATTGTCCTTTACGAGATTTATTTTGGCTGTCTTTTGTAGATGGTTGCTCTATGATAGCTTATGTTTGTGGAAAAAAGTCCAGATGCTGTGCAATATATATGCTAAGAGGTATTTAGGCGAAACAGTGGTAGAGGAAAAAGAAGTTAAATGCTTGAGGAAGAAACCTACAGGATTTTGGTGCAGTCAGAAATGACTGTAAGGTGAGTTAGAAAAGGATTTTGCAACTATGAAAAATGCTGTGGGGATGACCTAGACTTTAGGGGAAAAATGAGCTCATTTTGGTAGGTTAACAAGGAACGCCAAGATGGAGCTTCAAGGAGAAAAAACCATGCCTCTAGTCACAATTTTATTTCAAGTCAGAGCATAAAAAAGCTAAGAAATCATGTGTTTTGCTTAGAGGATTGTTTTGGAAGATTGGCAGTAAGCACAGTTCTGGAGATGTTGAAAATAGGCCCAGAGGGCTTATGAATTAGGATCGTAGGTTGGTGAATTTGCCATGAAGAGCAGGAGATTAGAGAACCAGTGTGGAGGAGGAGACTAAGAGAAGACCGTTGGCTTAGGTAAATCAGAAATGTACAGTTTATGGGAAGCAAGAGCTTATGTTTTAGACAGCTTGGTTAAGATATAATTTATGTGTCAACTCAAAGTATACGATTTATTAGCATTTATTATATTTAGACTGTGAAACCTTCAATGTCCTAATCAGTTTTAGAATGTTGATTGTATGTACATTGTATTGTACAATGATATTGTATTCAGTATTATCCACTTTAAGGCTCTTAATACTGATGTCATGAGTATGTTATGTTCATACACAGAACATTTGTATCTTTCTACAGTGTTAGAATTTATTGGGGAGTACACTGGGATATTGCTTGGTTGTTAGAATGTTTTTTTGCCTACCAGGCTACAAACCCTGGGTTAGATTTCAAGGACTGCACAACACTGGGTGTGGTGAGGCATGCTTGTAACTCAGGATTCTGGAGGTAGAGTCAGGAGGATCAGAAATTCAAGGCCATTGTTGGTAACATGTGTTCAAGGCCTGCAGGGGATACATGATGCCTTATCTAAAAAACAAACAAACAAAAAAAAAAAGAAAAAAAGAAAAAAAATGATTGAATAACAAGTTCACAAGCTTTTGTTGCCTCTAATTTGTAAAGTTGTCAAATTTGCCTTGATAGTTAGCTATTTCAAACACGTTTTTGTTTTTGTTTTTTAAATCCCAATCTTAATTACTTATATCACACACTACATAGTATGCAGTAATGATATATGTTAGTGTAGGTTACAGAATGTGGTAAAGAAGGTACAGGGAGTTCAAGCAGTGCAGAGGCTTTCCTGGAGGCAGGTGGAGAGCTGATGCTGATGGAGAGCTGCAGGAGCCAGACGTAGCAGGGCTGCAGGGTCAGAGTTGATCCCAGGCCTCAGGGTTGAGTTGAGCTGCAGAGGTGAGGTGTGGGACCATGGAGTCAATAGAGGTGAGGTGTGGGACCATGGAGTCAATAGAGGTGAGGTGTGGGCCTAGAACTGCGCAGATTGGCACATGACAATTTGAGTGGGCCATTTCATCAGCAGGGACTTATCTGAGCTTAATCCTCAGAGACAGACCAGATTTCTCTGCCTGTGGGTCCCTTTCTACACACACTGGGTGGTGAGATGACAGGTTAGTGGAGGCCATTGCTCATAGTGTTAGGGTACCCAGATAAAGGTGTAACACCCTTCCTCAGACAGATGTCTTCGGTAAAATTTTGGCTTCTCTTTGTCTGGTAAGATTTAATATCCCCACGTACTCCTATGTTCCCAGTCTGATATGTTTATAGAGGTGCCTTTTTACTTTAAATAAAAGTTGGTTATCAGTCTGTGCCACCCCTGCATGGTGCTGGGCAGGTAGCATTATCTGTGCACAGTGTGCACAGTTAGGAGCTGAGTCAATTTGCTTCTGCATATGTACTCAAAATGGACCAAAATTTGGCTTGTAAAATGGAGTCACCTAGGCCAAGGCACAGCCTGGAAGCCACTGTTTTCTGTCCTGCTGAGATCTTTTTATTGTACGTTCTTTAGTGTATATTTGTTCAGACAAGTACTGTCACTGGACAGGGATTTAAATTGTAAGCTTCTCATGTTCTGTTATTATTTTCCAGTTCAACTATTTAAAAAATACCTATTTTGAAAACTATATTTTTTTTGTACTGTATGTTTTTTTTTTTTGTTGACTTTTTGTAAGTAATGTGCATGTTCGTAGAAAGAAATAGAGATAATCTCTTCCTGTTTTTCTCTAGGGTAACTCCTCCTGTGAAGTTGCTTTTTTGTATGGAAGGATGCTCTTTTCCTGATAGAAGATGATAATCTTGGAGAATGACCATGGAGAAGGGGATGAGTTCTGGAGAAGGACTGCCTTCCAGATCACCTCAGGCATCTGCGGCTAAAGTAACAGTCAAGGAATCAGAAACAAGGCAGCCCTGTGAGGAGAAACGAGGGGGCTTTGTGCTGGTGCATGCAGGTGAGACCTTGTGGGTGAGTTGAAATGGAAGATGAAAAGAGTGTTTTCTGTTTCTTGCTTTGAAAAACACTGAAGACTGCATTTTGTATCTGCCAAAGAGAGATTGGAATATAAGAACCCGTTAGATGTTAATAGAGTGAGGGCCTATTCTATACTCCAGGTTGGAAGGTCTTACAGTGATACGTCTTCCTATGTCTTCCTTATTTCCCCTCTCTCTTATTTATCTTTACCTTATATAGTACATATGTTTAGATCAGTAGTGTTAAAACCAAAGTAATTTTTAAATATTTATTTGCTTGTTTATTTATTTAGAGACAGGATCTCATTATGGAGTTCTGACTGTCCTAGAACTCAATATATTGACCAAGCTGGTCACAAACTCACAGAGATCCACCTGCCTCTGCCTCCTAAATGCTGGGATTAAAGTTGTGTACTACTATGCCTGGCTTGAAACCAAAGTAAGTTTTTAAGTTCTGGTTTATGTTTTTTTTTTTTTTTTTTGGTTTTCGAGACAGGGTTTCTCTGTGTAGCTTTGCGCCTTTCCTGGAGCTCACTTGGTAGCCCAGGCTGGCCTCGAACTCACAGAGATCCGCCTGGCTCTGCCTCCCGAGTGCTGGGATTAAAGGCGTGCGCCACCAACGCCCGGCCCTGGTTTATGTTTTATAGGATAATGCCACTGAAAAATTCTTTCTGGCCCTATTTGATACAGTGGCCATCTTAAAGTATAATTACAAAATTATATAGATCAGCTTTTTCCCTCTCATCCATCCATCCATCCATCCATCCATCCATCCATCCATCCATCCATCCATCTAGTATCTATGTGTGTATGTCTGTGTCCTTGTGTCTGGGCATAAGTACCATAGCATATTTGTGGAGTTCAGTTATGGGTGTCAGTTTTCTCCACTATGTGGGTTATCGGGATTGAGTTCAGTCATGGTGGCAAGCACTCTTGCCTACAGAGCCATCGTGACAGCCCATAGTTAAGCCTTGTAAGAATGTTTTAATCTTTCTTTGCCCTCTGCAGATTCTTTATATGATTATTTATGAAATGAACTGACAATTGAAAGATTAATGGGAGAAAAACTATAGCAAATGTATTAACATGAATATGTGTACTAGCTTTTGAGACACAAAGAAAGGGCCAGATGGTTGAAGCTGCAATAGTCTTTCCAGCTACAGACTCGAAGTACCTGTTGGGGAGGTGGTGACAGGTTCTGAGAGGACAAAGAGAAGAAATAAATTGTGAACAAATGTCTTATTATGGAGAGATGGTCTCCCAGGTTACAGTCATCAAAAGACTGTCATAGTCTTTTGACAAGGATAATTTGGTAGGATCTTTAGTAGATGTGAAGAAGCCAGTTAAAGGGGCTTCGAGGAATCCTGCTTACATAGTGATGTTGATGTCTTGAATAGTAAAAATCTTTTTTCCTCTAGTCTTCTGTCTGCAATCCTCCTGAGTAGCCACCTTATATTATGCTCAAGAAGTATATTTTGATAGCAGTGAGCTAGCTTAGTGGGTAAAGGCGCTTGCCACCACCTTGACAACCTGAGTTCAATCTTGGAATCCACATGGAGGAAGAGAGCCGACTCCCTCAGTGGTCACACATGTCCTCCACTTGTTTGTCTCTGTGTATGCTTGCATGCACACACCCACACAGACACAAAATAAATAATGAATGTAAAAAAATCAAAGAATTGGGGCTAGAGAGATGGCTCAGAGGTTAAGAGCATCAACTTCTCTTCCAGAGGTTCTGAGTTCAATTCCCAGCACCCACATGCTGGCTCACAACCATCTGTAATGAGATATGGCACCCTCTTCTGTGTACATAATAAATAAATAAATCTTTAAAAAAAATCAAAGAATGATATTTTGAGGTAAATCATTTCACTGGCTCATATTTTCCTAGTATTATAAGTGAAGAACCTTAGGACTCGAGGCTCAGTGCCTTGAATGACTCCAGTTGCACTTCTGAGCAGGGCTGAGAAACCCTTAATTGACCCTAAGTTTTTGACACTGTCTCATCCTGTGATCTGTCTACTTAGAGGACCATGAGGGCAGAGTAAAATTTAATTCCTGGATCCTCCACTTGAGGAGGTGTGGCTTTGAGGTCACGTCTACTCAGCAGGCGCTTCCTTTTTTGGCCATTTCCATTTTCTTGCATATAGAATGTAAACTCCATGACACCCGTAGAGAAAGAATGACAAGTCTCCTTTTAGCTTTGTCCAGACTAGACCTATTTCTCACAAAACTAGTATGTTGTCTGGTTGTTAACCTTTGGCTATTTTTCATGCTGGAGAACTTGGAAGTCCCTTAGAATCTAGTCCAGAGGGGTTAACTAACATAAAATATAGGAAGTTTGATTTCTCTGTCTCTTCCAGATCCCTGCCCCATATGTCACACCCCGTCTTTCTCCTGGGATTTACTATAGGGTCTTATGTATACTAAGTGAGTGCCTGGTCACAGAGGTACATCATCAGCCTTTGCTTTTTTATTGTTTAATTAAAAAATTATTATTATTATGTGTGCATATGATATTGTGTGTGGGTGCTTGTGCTGTGGTGCATGTGTCAAAGGACAACCTTGTGAGATGGTTTGCTCCTTCCACCTTTACATGGCTACTGGAGACTGAACTCAGATTGCCAGGCTTGCCATAGGTACTTATCTGCTGAGCCATCTAGTTGTGCTCCACTCCCCCCATTTTTTTTAAAGACACTGTCTCTCTTTAGCCCAGGCTGGCCCAGAACTCACTTTGTAGCCTAAGCTGACCTGGAACTCAGGGCACTTCTCCAGCTTAGCTTTTCAGTGCTGGTACTGTAGACATGAGCCACCATATGCAGATATGTAGCTTATCTTCAAGATAGGGTCCTGTTATATAGCACAGGCTTGCCTCAGATTTGTGAGTTTCTTGCCTTGGCATGTGCCACTAAACTGACTAATTCCCTCTCTTTTGTCTATTCTGTTTTCCCACCACACATCTCTCTTTTACAGAGAGATGAGGGGGCTGGAGAAATGGCTCAGTGGTTAAGAACTCTTGCTGATCTCAGAGGACCTGAGTTTATTTCCTAGCAACCCCATAAGGCAGCTTAGCACCTCCTGTAACTCCAGCTCCAGAGAATCTGATACCTTTGGTACTCATGGGCACCTGCACACATGTGGCATACACAAACATGCACATGTGCAGGCAGGCATGCTCACACACCCACAAAGATAAAAACAGGATCTTTAAAAAAATAAAGAAAAGGTGAGATGAGGCAAATGTATTGAAATGTATGTACTTTTACTCAATTTAAAGTAGACCTGGGACTCTGAACTCCTGCCTCTGAATTTCTGGTTCATTATCATCTTTACTGCACCTTGTCAGCAGTACATCCATAATACCAGTGAGTAACTGTCTTTAAAGTTATTGGTAAAAAGTACAAAAACATCTGAAACTTAGACAAGTAGTAACAGCTTTAGATATTTGGAAAACATTGCTTTTTTTTTTTTGACTGTTATGATTCTGTTCTTCCTCTTTCAGACATACTTGATGGTAATGGCCCCCAGCTAAAGACTGTGCTAGAGATCAGAATAAGTAGGGATCAGTCTGGGCTGTGGCAGGAAATCTTGTGACAACCTCTTCTTCTCTGGCTAGGCCCGACCCTGCTTAGCTTCTGAGATCAGCTGAGATTGGGTCAGTTCAGGGTGTCATGGCCATAGCCACATCCTCTATTTCTTTCCTTTTTTTCCTTGCCTTTTTCTGCTTTCTTTCTTTCTTCCTTTTTATTTTACTTTTTTTATTTTTTTATTTTATTTTATTTTATTTTATTTTTGTTTTTTTCAAGACAGAGTTTCTCTGTGTGACAGTCCTGGCTGTCCTGGAACTCACTTTGTATACCAGGGTGGCCTCAAACTCACAGAGATCCTCCTGCCTTTGCCTCCCAAGTGCTACGATTAAAGGCATGTGCCACCACTGACTGGCTCACACCTTCTATTTCTAAATTATTAGAAATTCAAATAGATTGTTGATTACGAAGAAGTCTGTATCTTACATATTTAAAGTGTTAGAGATTACATTTCTCACATAATCTACAACTGTTTTGTTCAGCATTAGACTTACCCAACATTTAGTAGAATTTTTTTTTAAAGATTTGTTTATTTATTTATGTGTGTGAGTGTTCTGTCTTCCTGTACTTCTTCATGACAGAAGAGGGCATCAGATCCCACTGTAAATGGTTCTGAGCCATCATGTGGTTGCTGGGAATTGAACTCAGGACCTCTGGAAGAGCAACCAGTGCTCTTAACCACCGAGCCATCTCTCCAGCACTAGAGTTTTGTTTTTACTTAGCTATTCTCAACATTGGCTAATTTGATACTGATAATAAGAAAAAAGTCAACTGTGCATGGGGGCATATACTAATCCCAGCACTTGGAAGTCTGTGGTAGGAAGAATACCATGAGTCTGAGGCCAGCCTGGGCTACAAAAAGAATTCCCAACCAACTGGAGCCACCTGAAGAATTCAGTCCAATCCAAACCAACAACCAACCAACCAACCAACCAGCTAACCAGCCAACCAAAGAAAAAAACCAAAACAAAGTAGACACCTTTAAATTTTTGATAATTTTTTTTTTTATATTTAAATATATGCATGTGAGTATAGGTACCCAGAGACCCAGAAGAGGGTCTTAGATTCTCTGGAGCAGGAGGTACAGGCGGATGTGATCTGTCTAGTGTGGGAGCTAGGAACTGAGTTGGGATTCTCTGCAAGAGCAGTGCATGCTCTTGACCACTGAGCCATAAATGGGTGCTGTTCTCAATTTTGATCCAAAAATTTTCTTACTGAAGAGGGTAGCGGTTACTGTACACTCATAATTGTCCAAAGTGCTAAAAAAAAGTAGCTATGAATGCTCAGTTACTGTGGTGAGCAGTTTAACAAAATGGCCATTTAGTAAAGCAATATTGATAGGTTCTCCTGTAGAGCCTATAACATCCCTAGTCATGGATTTTGACTGTGAGTAGTGCCTGGAATGAATTCTCTCCTGTGTAGCAGACCTCAGGTCTAATCAAGAGAGTGGTTGGTCATGACTGTGGGCAGTGTTACTGCTGTGGCCCCAGTGGGTCCATCAGCCCAGTGGATTTGTATTGTAGTGTTCAGGGTCCAGAGCACCATTGATGTCTCTCCTCCTTTAGTACTTTCTAACATTGTGAAAGCTAGCTAGCAGGGAAAGAATTTCCTGATCAGTTCAAGATTGATTTTCATGTCCTACAACTGAAGTATGAGGTGTCTCTAGCAATTAGGTATTACTCTATAGTTATGGTGACAATCAGGAGCAAAGGCAATAGCCTGTATTGTTTTTGATACTTCTGGGGCCTTCCTTGCCAATAACTAACTCAGTGCATGAAACATATTAAATAACCCATCTTTT